GTTCCAAGGAGAGACTTGCTTGACACTTCGAGAAGTTGGGCATGCTCTGACTTCACTGATCGCGCGGTCACGAATATCACCAACACCTGTGGCACGAATAATATGTACCAGAAGGGAAGGGGAGTGAGGCTTACTGCGATCACGGCGAATGGAGTGTTGTGTGCGTTTCCATGCAATCTCTGTTCAGCCACAGTAATTAGATGTATAGCAATTGTGTGTATTCAGGTTCACAACACGTGTGTCGCGCGAAGCGCCTGCGGTGCGCATGACCCATGCGCATGATTCGCGCAGGCACGAACGCCAGTGCGCGGTATCCGCTAGGTGCGGGCTCAGCTTGTCCCACACGGGGTTGCAGTGCTTCTTGTGACGGTTCTCCCCCTCGTAGGGGCTTTCCACCCCAGCCTTCGGCACCTCGGGGGGGCACGGTTCGGTGTCCACGCGCATGCTCCCTGGCCGCTGCAGCGAACCGCCCTGCCTGCTGGCCCCCTCGCTCGGGTCACAGGAGGCGGCTGCCGACGCGGAGCACAAGGCCTTCTGCGACAAGGAGCTGGGCGAGAACGAGGCGAAGGAGCAGGACCGACACGGGCTGCCAACGGTCCGATCTGGTCCCCCGACTTCGGTCCCCATGCTCGCTCCGACGCGGTGCCAGCCTGCTGCCTCTCGGGCCTGCAGGGGCCGAGCCCTGTCCGAGATCCCAGGCGATCTGGTGACGATCTGATCCCGCGCACACCCAGGCGCGACCCGATCCGATCCGTTCACGATCCGATGCTGCGACTCGATCCAGCTGAGGCCTGCCAACCAGGGTGTTGAGCACAAGAAGACGCTTTCGCTAAGATCGGCACCACCTTACCGTTGTGCCGCTCTTGAGGCTTCGCCCAGTCTCTGAGGCACACTCACACTGTCATCGCCTTGGGCTTCTCTGTCTTCAGGGACAGGGATGAGCGCGAGGCTGGTTGCACAAGCAGCGCGTCGGGATCGTTGGCAACTTGTCGTTCAAGCGAGGGCAAATTTTGCCATAGCCTTGCGCCGTCTTCCCTGGCGTGCAGCACTTTCTAGCTGCACGCCACGTCGGATTTGCGCTGGACGGTCTTCGGAGAGGCGGCTTCGGTCGGGCCGCGCAGGACGACCACGGCGCTGTTTTGGCCATCCTGCGCAGCAGCCGCTTGCTCCCGTGTCCTGGTGGCTTCCGGTGCGGACTCCAGAGACGGTGCCCGACCCCTCCGTCATGCCCCCCCTGCCGGAGCCTGGTCGAAACCAGCCCCCGCACCTGGGGTCCATCCCGACCAGCTTTTCGAGCTGCATCCAGCCCTTACTGCAGGGGAGGTGGACTAGAAGGAGGAGGTGGAGGAGGAGGATATTTAGCGTTCCGTGGCCGCGAGGAAGACGAGAGGTGGATTTTGAAGAAGGAGGAGTGCTTGTTTGTTCTCTGGACATCCTCTGACAGAATCGCCATGGGGGTCTCACATGTTCTGCCAGAAGTTGGGGAGTCCATGCGGTGAAGTGGTCCTCCCCGTCCCCGCATAGAAGCTGAATGTGGAGAAGGGGTGTGAGGGGGGTCTCCCTCCTAATTACCTCGGTCTTCTGCCGTGTTCCCCCAGGGGGGCACCACTCCAAATCGTGTATCTCTGAGCCAGTTCAGTGAACCGTGCCTGGGGGACGGCGCTCTCGGCATCTGCCGCCGATCTTGCCTCTTCCTGCACGTGCCGCCCATCAGGTTGCGCGCACATGTTTGGTCAAGCGACGAATGCGCGCACCTTCTGGAAGCGCAGCAGGACAAGCTGGCAGAGATCGAGAAGCAGACAACCAAGATCGACGGGTGGACCGCCTCGGCCGCCAAGCTGAAGGCGGAGGCCGCGCAGTGCTTCCCTCCTCCGCATCATATCTCTTTGTCCACTGCGGTCCCTTACCTCCTCCCTTTCCGGTCTGATTGCGGTGTTGTTATGCCCGTCTCCTGGTCTCCTGTCTCCTCTTGCTCTCTGCGAGCCCTGTGTGTGTGTGGAAATATGTGTTCCAGGGCAGGAAGAGGAGTCTGTTTCCTCGAGGCTCCTTCGAAGAGCTTGCGGGGCCGCGTCGTGTAAGTAAACACTGCAGTGCAAGCTTAGTGTTGGGAGTAACATGGCGCCCGCAGGACAAAAAGGGTAGGTTTGCTGGTGTCCCGACGCCCGTCCCCCATCTCCTCTCTCCATCTCTCTGCCTCTCCCCCTCCCTCTCTCATCCCGATGGGTGATCCTGTCGCGCAGAGAGGAGTCGGTCGCCCTCCTCCTCCTCCTCCTTCCTTCCCCGCCCTCCTCGCACAGGGCTGGAGGGGGGGGAGAGAAGGGCCGATGATGTGCAGGAGCAGCCAGGGGGGGGGGGGGCGCGGAGAGCCGCTGCTGCTGATCCGTCTCCCCGAGGGCCGAGGAATGCTGCGCTCTCCCCGCACGTTTGCTCCGACCGTCGGCAGCCGCCCTCCCGCCGCAGGCGAGCCAAGCTCTGCTTCCGCGCCCTTCCGCCGACCAGCCGCCGGCTGCACTCAGATGGGGTTCGAACACGAGCCCCGAACTTCGGCCAAGTTCGCCCACCTCGCCCCCCGCCTCCGCCCCCGCCCCTCCAGGCAATGCAGTCGCAGCTGGGCGCTTGGAGGGCGTTCGTCGTCCTCCCTCCTCCTCCGCCACCCTCCCTCCCTCCCTCTTTAGGCCTCTCTTCCCTCCTCATTCTTGCCTCCTCCCAGATCGGACGCCAGGGGCGATCGCGGAGCGGGTGTACGGCATCTGCGGCATACACCTGCTTTCGGCCAAGTCGCCGCGCCCGTTTCTCGATACATGGCCGCCTCCAGCGCCAGCAGCCGCCGGGAAAGTCAGCTACGTGAGCTGATTCGCTATCCCCCCCTGTTACATCCCGTCCCTTTCGTCCGACCCGATCCCTCCCTCTCCTCCCCCTCTCTCTCAGTCTATATCCCGTTCTCTTTTCTGCCTCCTCCTGTGTTCCTCCGTTCTCTTCCTCTCCTCTTCCATCATGCACCGAGCGCTTTCCACTACTCGCGAAGTGCCTACTCGCGAACGTCTGAAATTCGCATGTTTGCCTCGATTTAATGTGCCGTAAATCTATCGTGGCGGATCCAGGCCATTTGCGAGTAGTTCCCTTGCGCGTCGTGGAACGCGCTTTTCTGATCATTCTCTCCTCCGTTGCCAGCTGAACCTCCCTACCCCCTAACCCCCCTCTCGGTGCCAGCGTCGGCGCCCCAGCTCCCTGGCTGCCCCTGCAGGTCGCGGCGTTGCAGAAGGCGCTGGCGGACCTCGCGTCGTCCCAGAAGGAGATGGACACGATCCGTGAGAAGGAGAAGGTCCGTCGGTTCCCGCACTCCTCGTCCTCCTCCGCCCATTTCTCAGGGCCCGCTTCGATCCGATGCATCCGATTCGCTCGGTATATCCGATTCGATTCCGACTTCGTGTCGATGCGCGAACCGATCCGACACATTTTCCGATTCGATCTGGGCTTCCAAATCGATGCTGGTTGATTCTGCCTCTTCTTCTCCTCCTACTCCTCCTCCTTCTCCTCCTCGTTCCGCTGGGTTGGTTTAGAATTTCACCCTGGCTGGGTTGGTTCGGGGGCAGGGCGTTTTGACCGAGCCTAGACCCCCCCCGCCTCCTCAGTCTGGTCTGGTTCCCCCCCCCATTCCCATCCTCGTCCTCCTGAGAAGGAGGATCGCCCCCACGCCACTTGGGGGCGGGAATGACGGCGTGTCTTGACGCTCAGTCTAAAAGTTGTTGGTGCTGTTTGAGCTTCTGGAAGCCTGCGGAGACGGGGTGGGCAGAGGCTGAGGGTGTTGAGGAGCAGTGGTGGTGGCGTATGTCTTCCTCGGCGCTTCTGCGGACATCCCGCATGCCTGCGTTTCGCCGTAAGGCGAACCCTGCCCCCCCCAGAGGCGGTGGTGAAGGCGGTGTGTGTTTCGTTATCAGCAGTTTGTGTGCGACAAGGGGGGAAGAGGATTGGCAGCAACATACACATTATGTGCTACACGAGGACACGGATCTGGATGCAGTTTTGGGTGGTAGGAGTCATGCGTTTATGATGATGTTGTTGATGATGATGATGGTGGTGGTGGTGGTGATGCTTATGATATGATGATGTGATGATGCTGCTGATGATGCTGATGATGCTGCTGATGCTGCTGATGCTGATGATGAGGCTGCCGATGATAATGATGGTGATGATGGTGGTGGAGATGGTGATGGTGATGGCGAAGGTGATGGTGGTGTTGATGATGATGATGATGATGATGCTACTGATGATGCTGATGATGATGATGATGATGATGCTGATGATGATAAGGAGGACGAGCAGGAGGAGGAGGAGGAGGGAGAGAACGAGGAGGAGGGCGGAGGAGGATCCTCGCCAGCGGCGCCGTCGTTCGTCGTCGTCGTCGTCGTCGCCATCGCCATCGTCGTCGTGGTTGTTGTTGTTGTTGTTGTTGTTGTTGTTGATGTTGTTGTTGTTGTTGTTGTTGAAAGACACCGGGTCTGGCCCCCCAGCCCCCCCCCCCCACCAACCAATCAACCCCTCCCCCCGATTCCCCCCCTTCTGGGGGCCCTCTTGGGCCATCCTGGGGTCCCACTCGCCGTCTGGGGGGGTCCTTTGGAGCCGTCTGGGGCCGTCTGGGGGGCCTGGAGGGCCGTCTTGGGCGTCTTCCTCAAGGTTCACCAAGGCTCATTAGGGATATTGCTATTCAATGCTGCGCGTTTTCTCTTTCAGTCTACGTTTCATGCGGCCGCCAGAGAGCGTGTGTGCGTTTGTGCGTGCGTGCTTGCGTGCGTCGCTCTCTCTCTCTCTGTGTCTCTGTCTCTGTCTCTGTCTCTGTCTCTCTATCTTCCTCGCTCTCTTTATGTCTTCTGGGGAGCGGAAAGGGAGGCAGCGGCAGCAGGAGGGGCTGGAGGGGAGGGAGGAGGGACGGGAGGGGAGGGATGATGACGATGATAATGAGTAGAAGGAGGGACGATGATGAGGTGAGGTGGACGATAATGATGATAATGACGGCGATGAGGATGATGATGATGATTATGATGATGATGTTGATGATGATGGTGATGATGAGGATGATGATGATGATGATGATGGTGGTGATGAGGATAGTGATGACGATTATGATGATGATGCAGATGAGGATGATGATGATGATAACGATGATGACGATTATGGTGATGATGCAGATACTGATGATTATGATGATGATGTTGATGGTGATGCTGATGATGATGATGATGATGATGCTGATGATGATGGTTATGCTGATGATGATGGTGGTGGTTGTGGTGATGATGATGCTGATGATGATGATGCTGATGCTGCTGATGATGATGATGCTGATGCTGATGCTGCTGATGATGATGATGTTGATGCTGATGCTGATGCTGATGATGATGCTGATGATGATGCTGATGATGATGATGATGATAGTGGTGATGATGATGAAGCTGATGATGCTTCTGATGATGCTGATGTTGATGACGATGCTGATGCTGATGCTCATGCTGATGATGATGGTGCTGATGATGATGATGGTGGTGGTGGTGGTGGGGATGGTGATGGTGATGGAAGTGGTGATGATGGTGGTGATGATGATGACGATGATGATGAGGATGAGGATGATGCTGCTGATGATGATGCTGATGATGATGATGATTATGATGATGATGATGATGATGATGGTGATGCTGATGATGATGATGATGCTGATGATGATGCTGATGATGATGATGGTGATGATTATGGTGATGATTATGGTGATGATTATGATGATGATGATGATGATGACGATGACGATGATGATGATGATGATGATGATGCTGATGATGATGATGATGATGATGGTGATGGTGATGGTGATGGTGATGGTGATGGTGATGGTGATGGTGATCTTGATGGTGATGGCGATGGTGATGGTGATGGTGATGGTGATGGTGATGGTGATGATGATGGTGGTGGCGGTGGTGGTGATGATGATGAGGAGGAGGAGGAGGAGGAGAAGGGGGAGGAGGAGGAGGAGGAGGAGGAGGAGGAGGAGGAGGGTGGAGTAGCTCCCTACTTGATCCCTCCCTCCCAGCCGCCCCACCCCACTCTCCCCTTTCGTTCCTCATTAATTCCCCCTCGTTCCACTCTTTCCTCTGGCTGCTCCTCCCTGCCCTGCTGAGCTATCTGTAGCCATCCTGGATCAAGGGCTGTCCTTGGCGATCCTTCCTCATTCCTCCTCCTCCTTCCTCCTTCCTCCTTCCTCCTCCTCCTTCCTCCGTCTCCTCCCTCCGTCCTCCTCGTCGTCCTTCCTTCTCCTCCTCCTTCTTCCTTCCTCCTCCTCCTTCCTCCGTCTCCTCCCTCCGTCCTCCTCGTCGTCCTTCCTCCTCCTCCTCCTCCTCCTCCCCATAGGTGATATGCAGTTTTTTTTGTGTTGCAGCGAGAGCTGGTTGGTTGGTTGGTTGGTGTGGGGGGGGAGGGGGGTTGGTCCGCACGGGGCGGCAGGTCCGGGTTGCGCCAGGGGGGGGAGCCCGGGAGAGGAACCGGGGGTGACGGGGTCGCAGTCCCGGGGTGTACCTTGAATATTATTACTTCTAAAGAATAATTATTGTTGGGCCCCCTGGTGCACGCCCCCCCTGCGCCGCCTAGGCCGCAGCTACATTTTCATTATTTTCGTCAGGAAGCCTCAGGTAAAACGATGTGATCCAGATCCGGTTGTTTTGTTGTAATCCGTTTTCCCTTGCAAAAAACACTATAAAATGACATTTCTTGTTCTAATATAATCAAATTTCAAGAATCCCTTGCAAAAAATAAGGTAAAGTGGACATTCGCGCGCGCAAGACGAAATCCTTCCAAAAGCTTAGTGTTCGGAGCGATTTTAACATAAAAACATCAAAAAACCAATGGTTTTTCAACAAAAAAATGTCAAAATCTCATCCCGCGCGCTCTTGCGGATTCGTAGGAAACCCAACACTTTTTAAACATTTCTGTCAAACGGGCTTTTGCGAGCAACTTTTTCGAACTTCTGCGACAACGGTTGCGCACCTGCCAGGGCCATCATCCCTGTCAAATAATACCATGCGGGACACATTCGTTTTTTCTTCGCGCGCGCACGCCGAAATCTCCAAAAACCATTGGGCTTCTTAAGAATTTTAGCACCGCGCATCATAAAATCACACGAATCGCACCGTAGGTCCTCGAAAAACACCTGCACGACTTTTCAAAATTTCCACCCGCGCGCGCTGTCCGAATCCTAAAAAAACCAATGGTTTTCCAACATTTATGTTACATGAGCTCGCGCGAGCTACTTTCGCACGCTCTTGCAACGGGGTTCGCGCGCCTGCCAGGGGCCATAATCCCTTGCGGTTGCGCCATAGGTTGCGCCCTCGGCCGCCGAGAATAAAACGCCCCCCTATTGGTTGCGCCATAGGTTGCGCCCTCGGCCGCCGAGAATAAAACGTCCCCCTACTGGTTGCGCCATAGGTTGCCCCAGGAGGCCTTCAAGAGGCCCCAAGAGCCCGCCGTGAGGACCCAATAAGCCCCCAAGAGGCCCCAAGATGCTTCCAAGAAGCCCCCCAAAGCCCCTCAAGAGGACCCCAAGCGGCGCCAGGAGGCTTCCCCCCTTCCCCAAGAGGACCCCAAGCGGCCCCAGGAAGCCTCCGACTGATCACTGTCACATCCGTAGCCATCTCGGATCAAGGTATCGCCTGTGTTCTTGGATGGGTCATGGCTTTGTCGGCGAAAGCCCTTGACGACCAGTATGGCCCAGAGCTGTCGCGGCCTCCCTTGGCTGACTGCGGCAGCCCGTATTATTTGCATCAGGCGCTCGTTGCAAAGGGTATCCAGGTCAGTCACCAGGCGTGCAAGACTTGGTGGGGCAAGTATCGGGTTGTGCCTGGCAAGGTCAGTATTTCTAGCGCCCAGGAGCTGGAGGAGCAGCACGGCTCTGCCATCCGCCACCTGGGCATCGAGTATAATACACCTTTCAAATTATGCGGGGCGCTCCGACAGTTGGATCCACCACTGTATGTGACAGATCAGGTCGCAAAGATGTGGCTACTGCAGTATTCTTCCAAAGAGACGCTTGTCAAAGTGCAGAACGCTGGCCATCTGGAGACCTGGTATGGAGAACGTATTCGCAAAGACATGCCCGAGGGGACTACTGACGGGGCCGTGTTGAAGCAGTGGCTCCTGGGACATTTATCTGTATCTGCTGACGCCAGGGTATGCCAGAAGTGGCTCAGCACGGAGTGGGGCGCCAAGGGAGCATTGAATACTGCCCAAGCTGTGGAGGAATGTATAGGCCAGCGTCTTCGACTCAATCAGTATCGGGAGAGC